TTTAAACCAATCAAGTCTAGCCTGGATTTTGGTGACTGTTTTGTTTCTAGTGGTGGGGGTAGTCTCACACTTACAACTTACTTTGTATCATGAAAGCCTGACACATAAACAAAATAACTAAACACAATGTAGATTTTCTTTTCTTTTTTAATCTTAAAGTGGTGCTGTCTAGGTGGTGGATATGATTGTATAAATACCTTGATTTTTATGCTTTTTAATGTTAGTTTTAAAACTTGATAAATGTATTCCTTCCCCTTTCCTTTCCCGCCTTTCTCCTCCTAAAGTGTATGTACAAAAGTTGCCCAGCACACCATCAAAAAGGATCCTCCCCCATATGTTCCTCCTATATAAAATACTAGCCAGCATTTGTTTTTACATTAATGTCCCATATACTGGGCACATTTACCCTTTTATTAGCACCTTTTTTGCATGCATATATGTAGAATTATCTCTTGTTCATCACCCATTTAAGTGTCACTAGGAAGGGAAGAATATATTATTGGAATATTTTTGGTTTGTCTCTCTGTTCTATCTGTCAGGATAATATTGGACACCGCTTACTCCAGAAACATGGGTGGAAGCTGGGCCAGGGATTGGGAAAATCTCTTCAGGGTAAGTTTTTAAATTTACCAAAAGGTAAAAATAATAAATTAATATAAATGGAAAACAGTGTTTCTAATGCAAATCTTGTACCCGAATGTATTTGTTGTGTTTTTAAAAAGTGTTTGGGTTTTCTCCCTGTCTTTCCCCTGCTAGAATAGTCTATTTTTCCTATAGCTGAGTCTTAAGTTGTTGTATAGCCTCCATCTTTGCCAGTGATTTGTAAGCTGCTGTGTCCTTAAAACTTTGAGGCCATACATATTATGGATGGCCCAGCCTGGTTTTTTTGGGGGGCGGGGGATAGCCAAACAGGAAAAAGAATGTGTGCTTTATGTCTTCTAGTGATATTGTTTGTGGTTACTGAATCATAAAGAGAATAATTCAGTGCCAGAGTTTTAACTTGTCCTTCCAAATTCTCCCTGAAGCCAGTGATTTCCCTGTGGCTCACTTGTGTTGTGATCAAAGTTCATGTTGCGGTAGAGAAAAAAATTAACCTATGTGAAACCTAAAATGAAAGTAGAAATTTCCTAGGGTTGTTCAAGCAGAAGCCATTTCTCATGTTCACATCTGGCTCTGGAAAATGTACGGTTAAAGTTCTTATCACACTTACTTTTCCTTTTACATATACTAGTTTTTTAGATAAAAACCAAAATGCTGACATTTCTGCTTCTGAGCTTTGCTCTTGCCACATGGAAACCAACCACCTTCTTCCAGGCTCAAGAGCTGTTGATGGTTGCAAATTTGATGTGAAAGCTAGCTCAGAAATTAGGGGAATCATTGTGTTTCTGCATGATCATAGAGGGGCTTATATAGAGTGATGTTTGAAGATAGATGTGCTAATAATGTTGACTAATTCTTTGAATTTTGGAAATGGATTTTTCAGCTTGAATGCTGAAGTCTAATGTGTTAAGATGAGTAAGAGGACAGAGTATTTCAGTTACTAAAAGCTTTGCTTTTGCTGGGCAGGTGTGGGAATGCATGCTTGTGATTCTAGCACTTGGGATGTGGAAGCAGGGGTTTGAAGCCAGAGTGGGCTACATGGTGAGATTCCATCTCAAAACTAAACCAAGGGTCTGGAGAGTTGACTCAGCAGTTAAATTGTGTACAGCTCTTACAGGGGACCAGCATCCACTTCAGGTGGCTCACAACCTCTTGTGACTCCACCTCCCAGGGGAATCTGATGCCTCTGATCTCCACAGGCATCTGCACTCACATGCATACACCACCCCGCCATACACATAATTAAAAGTCATAAAAAATATATTTACAAAAACCAAAACAGCAACAAAAACTTCGCTATTTGTTTTAAAGTTCTACTTACAAAAACGAAACAATTATACTTAAAAAATTGTATTCGGGCATGGCACATTAGAAGATGCTCAATAAATAGAGCTATTAAATGTTTATTTCTAAGCTGTAACTTTTTCTTTTGGAGAGATAAAAAGACTGCCATTAAACTTGCCTTCCAAGTGACATAAAGACTCTTTGCAAGGCTGGAGAGATGGCTCAGTGGTTAAAAGCACTGGCTCTCTTGCAGAGGACCTGGGTTTGTTTTCCAGCACCCACATGGCAGCTAACAACTGTCCATAACTCCAGTTCCAGGGGATCTGATGCCCATTTCTGGCCTCTGTGAGCACTGCATGACATGGGTGTGCTTACATACAAAGGCTAATCTGTGACTTAGAGCAATTTGTGTGGTAGATACCACATATTTTATAGATTCTAAATAGAGGTAAAGTAATCAAGATTAAAATAGAAGTGGATTTTTGGTTGAATTTCTCCCATTTGTTTCCATAAATGTAAATGTTGAATCAAATTGAGTGGAGTTGATTGCTAGGAAGTTCTGAAGACTAGAATTTGATCTTTGTTTCTGATTTGAAACATCTCTATCTAATTGAAGATGTCTAGAAACACTGTTTTTATTTACTCTCTTTGTTCAGGCACTTGGGTGGGGGCATTTTACAAGGGTTAGTTAGCAAATATATTTGAATCCAAAAGTTTTTTTTATGTTGAGTGTCAGAGATTTTATAATTAGAACATGGCGAGAGGGAGGGAAGGAGGGAGGGAGGGAGGGAGGGAAGGAGGGAGAGAAAGAGAGAAGGATTTGTATGTTTGGTTTTTTTTGCAGTATGCTACCCAAGTTTTCTACCACCAAACTATACCTCAGCTCATGATATAAAAAGTGGATACTTAACTATAGATGATCTAAAATTGTTACTTTGTTTTAAAAACTCTCTTGAAGTTTGCTTCTCTTTTAACTTTGACTTCCTTGAAAAGAAGTGGGGGGTACACTGAAGAAATGGCTCAGCAGTTAAGAGCACTGGCTGCTCTTGTAGAGGACCTGGGTTCAATTCCAAGGACCCACATGGCAGCTAACAACCATATATATATATATATATATATATATGGAGATAATATAGTCATACACGTAAAATAAAGATAATAAAATATTTAAAAATACAAGGAAAAATTTGAAGTTTTGTTTTGGTTTGTTTTTTGAGAAAGGATCTCATTATGTAGCCCTAACTGGCCTGAAACTCAATAAATAGGCTAGGCTGGCCTTGACCTTGTAGTGATCCTTTTCCCTTTTCTTCTGAGTGCTGAGATTACAGGTGTGCACTACCATATCCAGCTTTTATGTTTATTTGTTGTGTGGTTTTTGTTGTTGTTGCTGTTTTTGAGATAGGGTCTTCATAGCCCCCTGCTGACCTGGAACTTGCTGTATAGACCACACTGGCCTGGAACTCACTAATATTATTTAAGATAGCCTTGAATTATGCAATCCTGCATCCTTTGTCTCTCAAGTGCTGGGATTACACATTGGTACCACCATGCCCAGCTATTTTTCCTGTCTAATTGTGATAAAATACATAATTAAAATGTTCCATCATGACATCCTTTTCTTCCCTTTCTTCCCCCCTCCCCTTCTTTCTCTTTGTTTCTTGTGCTGGGTATTCATCCTAGGAAAACCTTGCGTATCCTAAGCACAAGTTCTACTATGGAAATATACCCCCAATTTCTCTTTAACTTTTTGTTTTATTTTGCTTGTGCTTTTGAAACAGGGTCTCACTATGTAACCCAGGCTAGCCTTTGTCTTCTGAGTACTAGGATGGCTTCACTTGGCCATTTTAAGTGTGTAGTTCAGTAGTGTTAAGTATATTTACGTTATTGATGTGTTTTAGGTAGCCAGTTCAGCATCTTTATTCTTTCAAAGGAATTCATTCATGGTAACTTGAATCTGTGTTCCCAAGGCATAGACATTTATATTTGGCTCAAAATAAACTTTTTTCTCATTTCATTAAAAGTTAAAAAAAAAAAAAAAAGAATGGGGGCTGGAGAGATGGTTCAGTGGTTAAGAGCACTGGTTGCTCTTGTAGAGGACCCACATTTAGTTCCCAGCACCTACATGGTGGCTAACAACTGTCCTAACTCCAGTTCCAAGGGATTTGACTCCCTCTTCTAACCCCTGTGGGCATTGCAGGACACAAGTGCACTTACACACATGCAGGCAATATACTCATACACTTAAAATAAAAATAATAAGCCGGGCATGGTGGCCTACACCTGTAGTCCCAGCACTTGGGAGGCAGAGGCAGGCAGATCTCTGTGTTCAAGGCCAGCCTGGTCTACATAGTGAGTTCCAGGACAGCTCGGGCTACAGGGAGACCCTGCTTCAAAAAGACTAAATAAATAAATAAATAAATAAATAAAATATTTTTTAAAAAGAATGGAACCTTATTCTGTTTCCAGCATTAAGGGTCAAGTTAGTTTTGTAAACAATTCTATTTCTTGTAGCAGATTCAACATTGTGTAGGTATTAATGCTGGTTTCTGTCATAGAACTTTCTCTAATTCGCACATGATTTGACTTAGAATATAACTATAGTAATAGTACATTGAGATAATTTGCAATAAATTTATTTCAGTTTTAATAAATAACTTGATATAAAAAACTACTTCTGAGGAAAGCTCACCTTTTCACAGTATTATATAGACTTGCCACTGTATGTCTAGGCTCACACATTATAAATTCTTTTTTTTTTTATTTTTACGTGTATGCGTGTATTGCTTGCATGTTGGTAAGTGCACCCGTGTCATGCAGTGCCAGTGGAGGTCAGAAGAGGCTGTTGGATCCCCTGGAACTGCAGTTATGGACAGTTGGTAGCTGCCATGTGGGTACTGTGGGTACAGTGTTCTTAACTGCTGAGCTATCTCTCCAGCCCTCTGTAAATTCTTTATACTTATTTGTTGTCAACTTTCAGTTCCTCTTATTTGAATTAATTTTGGGGGAAAAATTTTTTTCAGACATGGTCTTCCTGTAGCTCCAGCTGGCCTTGTACTCACTATATAGACCAGGCTGGCCTCAATTTCACTGTGCTCCACCTGCCTTTGCCCCCAAGTGCTGAGATTAAAGGTGTGCCCCACCATGCCTGGAAAATTTTGGGACTCTTAACATATTGAACATAAAACCATTCACTAAAATTGAAACCTGGTTTCTGTATCCAGATATAAAATTGTACTGTGTAGGGACTGGAGAGATGGCTCAGCGGTTAAGAGCACTGACTGCTCTAGCAGAGGACCTGGGTTCAATTCCCAGTACCCACGTGGCTAGGAACTGTCCTTAACTCCAGTTCCAGAGGAATCCAACACCCTCTTCTGACTTCTGCAGCACTGCACGACACAGGTGCACTCACATTCATGCAGGCAATATACTCATACACATAAAATAAAAATAAAATAAATAAATTATACTATGTAAACTAGATTTGTTTTTACATTTGAATTTTATTTTATCCTTCCTTTGTGTTTATTAAAATATTTTGAAAGTTTCAAAAAATCCTTTATTATATGTACCAGATAATTGTTATTGATAAAAATAAAGACCTGTAGAAAAGCTGTGTTGATAAAGTATCTGTCATCTGAAAGAAATAGCCTTGTTAAGGAGAAATATCATGGGCCATTATATATTATGAAGGGAGAAGGGTATGTTACTTAATAATGAAACAATAATGA